AGCCCCGGAGGGGGTTGGGGAAGCCCGCCGCTCGCGAGGCCGGGGGCGGTCGGCGGAAAGGGAAGCTCCCAAGAGGAGGGCCGCCGCTCCCGCGCGTGCTGCGAGGCCAGCGCGGCGGTTTCCTCCACCCCGGGCGCCGCGACCGGCACCCCCACCCTGGCCTTCCACCTCCCTAGAAAACCTCGCAGGTCGGGCAAGGTGTCCTTGAACTCGGCGCGGCGCGGCAGGGAACTTCGGAAGGCCGCCAGACGTCTGGAGCCGGTGGTTCGCACGGCGGAAACCACCGAACACAGCGGTAGAAGATGCCGTAAAGAAGAAAAGCTGCCCCGATTGCGATCGGCCTCGGCGGGGGAAGGAAGAGACCAAAGGGATTCCGCCCTGCCCCCACACATCCCGTCGAGAGCGGGACGCATCGCCGTCAGACTAGTCCCACAACCCTCGCTCCTCGATCGTTCTTGGGGATTGGGGGTGGTTCCCGTGAAAAGGAAGGGGCGAAAAAACGCCTGGGCGGAGTCCCCGTCACGCGCGGGGCTCGTAAAAGTGGCCGATGAACGCCGAGGCGATAAACAGTCGTCGCCGCCGTGGTCGGGGTGGGTTGGGCCGATTGGCGCGTCAGGCCTGAACAGTTTGGACAGCCACCGCCGCCCTTTAATGCCCCATCGCCACCCAAGGCGGCGTGGGGTTCGATCCTTCGTGTGAGAAAACGCACCGCGGCCAACCCGGCGAGGCGGGTATTCGTAATCCGCCGCATTCGGCGAATGGCGCGGATCCCGCGCCTCGCCCCAGGCGGCAATCCCCCCGGCATTCCCCCCGGATCCGTACTTTTCCGCCAATAACGGCCCATCCTGAAGCAGGGGAGGAGAGGGGTCGTAAAAGTACCATTGATCCCACTCCGCCTGGAGTTTCTGATAGCGCCGCACGACGGCGTCCATCACGGTGGCCTCCTGCTCCAGAGTCCGCCGATCTTCCCCGCGAACGTTGTCGTCCTCGGGTCCTTTCGCCCGGCCCGGGCCTTCCGTCGACGGGGGAATGTCCCGCGGCGGCTGAAGGGAGGGGCCCGGACGGTCCGCCGAGGGGAGGGGCCCCGAACTTCGCCTCGCCCGTGTGCGCGGGTTCGAGTGGTCGCGGTCCGGCCTGCTGGGAAGGTCCTCCAGTCGCTCGGGAAGCGCGCAGGGCTTGGATAAAGTCAACGGTGTCGACTCGCCCGTGGCCTCAACGCTGCTATCACTATTACTGCT